GTAATCCTTATAAAACCCCTGAAGCGTGAAACCCTAAACCCCAGACCCGGAAAGCAACCACATTCTAATTATGAAGGCCACCAGGAAAAACAAACGCACCCTAAACCCTAAACCCTAAACCACTGGCTTTCAGGAATAGGTTTTAGGCTTTCGGACTTGAGCCCCAACTACGGTTGATGATATGAATCCTGCATGACCTTAAGGACCCTAAATCTGTGGGAATTATGGTATATTCCTTATTATGGGTAATGCAGGATTTATATCATCAACCGTATCAGTGGCTTTGTAGCGCAGAAGACTTTCCTTGGCAATTGAATTTCTAGCAACTATGTGAGGAAATCACAACAATGAAACCCAAAAGTTATCCTAAACAGAAAAGGAACTGAACGTTTTCTGGGCTACAGGTCGTGTTACACACCACCAATCGAAACGCAGACCCTGGTCTGGGCTCAGTGCTGGGGTGTATAGGGTTTCTAGCTTCCAGGGTTTCTAGGGTTCAAGGCTTAGGGTTTCTGGGGTTTTAAAGTTTCTGGGTTTTCTAGGGATTTTAAGGGCTTCTAGGGATAGTGCTACACTCTAAACCCTAAACCCTATAAAACCAAAAGCCCCGTACATCCAGGCGGAACTGTTCGCACTTCTGCGACGAGTTTTGCACGCAGCTCGGGGTCTGGGCCTTGAGCATCGTTTTTAAAGGGGCTTTTATGAGAGGTAGTATAGACGATTGGTCATGATAAGGGTTTCTGTAAGGGTTAGTATAAAGGCTTTTTTGGTAAAGGGTCTCTATATATGATTATGTAATTCGTAATTATAAGGGTTACTATCTGGGATAGTATTGCTAAAGGAATTGCAGACAGGATATTATGAAGGATACATTGCGATTAAAGGTAACGGACCTGATTTTGACAGCAAAGACAGTTTGAAGACTTGAGCCAGGGTTACGTCATTAAGGAATCAAAAACCTACAGAGGAGGTTATTTAGGGTTCATGCGTTTTGGGGTCCCTGAACCTTGAAACTCACCCGACGTGGGACCATGGCCTTCTCTCCAGAACTTTACAGCTTTGGAACTGTAGGCTGGGTTCTGGGAGTACCGAGTCCTGGAGAACCCTACATGGAATGTCAGCAATACCGGCAGACAGAAGTAACACTCAGGAACCTGATCTCCTCGTGCTCGACTCCTACATGGGGTTTAGGATAGAGTGAAGGGCTCGGTCTCTAGAGACGACAATTCTGGGGTGTCCAACTCCGTACTGTTGATGATATAACTCCTGCATTACCTTCAGGACCCTAAACTATGGGAATTGTGGTACATGCCTTACTCTGGGTAATGCAGGATATATGGGTGGTTGTCAAATTATGGTCCTTTTTGGGGTCCCCCAAAAGGGACCATAATTTTAAGCACTACCCATATCATCAACCGTACGGGGGGCATTTGTGAGATTTGACTTGCGGCCTGGGAAGCCTGGAGAGGTCCTGCAGGCCCGAACATGTCACGAAGACTATCCAGGAACCGTGAAGCCTTCTTGGGTGGTTGTCAAAATTAGGGTCCCTTTTTGGGTAACTTAAATATTAGGTGCCGTACTATAATATGGACACAAACGGGACCATAATTTCGACAACTACCCCCTTATTTTCCCAACAGCCAAGGCCCTCGGAACCGCAACCTCAGAAACCAGCAGAACGTCGCTGAAGCCCGCTTGAACCCGAAGGAGACCCGGAACCCTGCCCTGCGTTTGGCTCGAAGGTTGGACCACTACCTGCTTGGGCAGCACCCTCGGCGGTGAAATTGTCGGGCTCCGGACATGTACTAAATGTACCCAGATCTTCCCGAAGACTTGAATCGCGGAAGACTTCCTTTTTTCTGATACCCTCCTGCAAGGGTCCAAGTACTTATAAAGCATACAGGCTTTGAGTGGAATCCCTGGTCAGTCGAAGGTGCCTACTTAAAGGATCATGGGACTTAGTAAGGTTATAAGTACCTAATTGGGGTTATAAGTAGAGTTACCCAAATTATAACCCTAGTTACTAGGTCCCATGATCCTTTAAGTAGGCTCTGAACCGTGCTTTGCGGGTATTAGCACGAGGGGGTTTATTTAATGCAGGGGCCTTTATATTTATAGTAGCATGGGCCCCAAATCCCTATTATAATTGTTAAGGCCCATATATTATGGATAAATCTAAAGGCTTCATGACGAAGGCTATCTAGAGTCGTACGAGGGCTTAGTATGAGAGTTTATTAAGCGTTTTATCGGTCCACATATTTGTAGTCCTTGAAGAGGTTCCTATACAGGTGTTTATGTTCGAAGTGTATATTGCATATACTCTATGGGTACATGACTAAACACAGACGAATTATTGAATCCTCTACAGGGTGCAGGGATCAGGGTAGGATGGGACACCGCCTTCAAAGATTCACTGTATTGGTGCTATTTGAACCCCCTGTCGGCCGCCTGACAAAGTGTAATCAGGGCTTCCCGAATCATAACTTCTCATCACACAGCCTTGTAGCGCTTCAACCTACACCGTTGGACCGAACTTCGATATCTATTCACCCCGGGGTTGGCGTTTAGGGTGTGGCAAACTTGCGTGTTTTCTCTGTGTCGCTTCATGCAGAACCACGGTCATGAAGACTAGTCGCTACAGGCCATATAACTTATAAACCTCCCATGCAAAGGTTACGAATATGGCTGGCGCAGCTGCTCAACTCGCAGACGTGTCCTTGAAGGTATCTCTGTTGCGATGTCTCTCACGAGTATCTCCGAGTAGGAAATCATGTTCTCGTATAGTCCGTCTAGTCCCCATATACTTGCACCATCTACAATGTACCCCCCAAAGCCCTCTTGTAATTGCTAAAGCGCCTAGATTAGGATAGAGTCGAGGGATTCAGGGCCTGGAATGCTCGACATGGGTTTGGTGTTAAATGATATGTTGACATTAAGAGCCAGTTTTGGGTTCGGGATAAGTCGACGCCAGTTCAGGGTGTAGGCTTGCAACACCAGGGTCCATAGGCCCGATTAGCACAAAGCTTAAACCCTAAACCCTAGATATTCAGCGCCTTGTTCAGGATTTGCATCTCCGCTTGGTGGGCTTCAACCCACAACCCCTAAACCCCTAAGTCCCTAAGCCCTTAAACCTGAAACCCTAAACCCCATGTAAGCTGTTCCAGTTAGCCGATCCTTCAGCTTTCCCTTCGGAAGAAACTTAGGGTTTGGGGGTCGATTTCAAAATCATGGCCTTTTGGGTGGGAATCCTACACACTTCTACTCTCATTACGACACCCTCTGGCTTGGGAGCGCCAAAAGCGACCCTCATTTGGACAAGCATCCATATTCAGTTTCTCGGGGCCCTGGATTTGAGCAGTGTCATGGAGCTTGCTTGAGCCCCCCAAAAGTAGGTAAAATAATGGCTCAAAAACCTACAAAAGGCTATTATTCTACATGCGTTTGGGGTCTATGGATAAATTGCGAAATCCAGAAGCGGCAATCCCCCTCCCGACTCCTCGTGAGTCTGCAGTTTACATGTTATCTATCATATATGTATATACCTACATACATATCTAGATACATGCCTACATATACATGCATAGATGGCCGTATGCAGTAGAGCCTCAACCCTAAAACCTATAGCCCAGACTTAAGCCCCCACCCAAAACACTGAACCCTCAACCCTAAGCCCTGAAGCGTAAACCTTGAACCTGCGCCCAAGCATCGGTAGGTGCGCTCCGCTACCTCAAACCTGGCGGACACAATTAGCAGCCTGTTTGAGGCCAGCATCGATCGTGGGACTATTTCCGGGATTTAGAGGGGGTTTGATGGGTCTTGCGATTATCCTAAGGCTCCATAGTAGTTCCTTTTTGGGGTTCGCGCTTAGAATCCGATATAAGGTAATCCCAAACAGGAACTACTATGGAGCCTCTGGGTAAAGGGGCTACATTGGCTTGGCGGATCACACTTGGAGGTCCGCAAACCCAGGCTTTGTTTAGGGATTCGACAGTGGAGGGCGTTACCGGTTGTAGGATTTCAGTCAAGGGGCCTTAGCGTGATCTGCGGCCTTAAAGGCTATAGCCCAAGATCCAATCCCCAAAAAATGAACTCCAAAAATCTAAACCTTAAAACCCTAAAACCCTAGACTGTCACTCCCCAAAACCCTAAAGCCTACAGCCTCAAAGCCCTAAGCAAAAAACGCCCTAAACCCCTGAAACTTAAGGCCGTACAGCCCTACTTGACTCGCATCCGAGGCAGGGCCAACATCTCCAGAAGATCTTCCAAGGTAGTTCAGGAATTGTTTGGGAGCCCAAAGCAAGCAAAAGACCAGCTAAACCCTAAACCCGACGGAACAACATAGCAAAAAGACTGTAGGCAGGTTTGAGACCTGCGCAACTTCGACCTCTTGGTTTTCTCTGTTTAAAACCAGAAGAAGTTTTCACAACCTCCCCGAATGGTCCATGTACCCAAATGCTAAATACATTGGCGTTTAAGTACTCCCTATATGGGTACATGTTGACCTCGAGTATATACTATTTGGGTACATGGACCCTCAGGGCTTTGCATTCCCTAAACCAATAACCTAAAACCTCGACCCTAAACCCTGAAAGCCTAGCCCTCAAACGCTGAACGCTGAACCTACACTTGTTCAAATCGTCGTCCGTGCGAAAGCATTGTGTGCTCAGCATTTGCCGAGTGGACATCTCCCCATGTATTTACAAAACATACATACATGTATATATCTCTGTGCTCATTTGTTTGATCAAATTTGTAGTGTATACCATGACCTTAAAGTACCTATATATGTATGTGCTCTTTTAGGGAGACAGTCTATACAATATCGGCACTTTGACTTCTACAGGGTTTGGCAGGGTTCACCCGGGAAGGGGCACCCTAAACCCTAAACTCCTAAACCCTGAACCCCTAAACCCTAAACCCTAAGTAGAGCTGCAGACTCGATGGAGTGTGCAGCAGAGCTCGGGGGCCACGAGGAGCAGGAGGCCCTGGAAGACTTGTGGATGGAAGTGGCTGTGGCTTTTCGTGCAGATGTGGAGCAAGAGGCACTGGAGGAGTTGTGGATGGAAGTGGCTGTCGCACTTCGTGCAGAGCTGGACATCGAAAGTGAGGACATTGAGCCTTTGTCGTAGTTGGGTAACATTTTACATTTTTATGGGTACTTAAAACACAAGAAGGAATACACATGTACATTTTTAATCCCATCCCAACCGAGAACTAGGAGCGGGAGCCTTCGATCGCGGCCATGGTACCATCCATCGACTGCCTCCATTCCCTGGCGAAGCCTTCAAGAGCTGGACCCGGCTCACCTGCTGCCAGCGTTTCTGTGGCTAGGATGCCCAGTACTACCCTTGCTATAGGGGCCTTAATAATTACTAATACTATTGTGGGGGTTCCTTATTGAAACTATGGTATAATGAGCCCCAAAACCCTATTCTAATTATTGTGGCCCCAATGTTATTCCCGTTTTGTAGTCCTAGGTTCCTTATAAAGCTACCCGATACCAACAAGGCAGTCCTTTTTATTCCTAGGTTACTGGGCATCCTAGGTGGCCTCGAACATGACCAAGGAGAACCGGCTTGATGCCAACAGGTTTTCCACCGTGGATGCAGACATTATTCGGGGTATCCCTCTCCGTCGATCTTTGAAGGGACTGGGCCACATATGGCGCTACCAGCCGGCCACGTGGAACCCGGAGCAGCGTGCCAAACTCTACAATCTTTCGCAGAAGGTGCAGCACTTCAACGTGTTTGTCTCGCACACCTGGCACACACCTGGTTGGCACAAGACTTTGGCTCTCTCATTCCAATGTGGCTGGCGGAGTACACTTGCCCTATGGTGTGTGGCCGAGATTGCGTCCATGCTTCTGTGCCTTGCCGACGTGCTGCCAATGCCGCTGGTATTCCAGGCAAACGTCACAGGTTTTACAGACGAGTCTTCGTCCTTGAAATCCTCAGCTGCCTAAACCATTAACTTCTAAAGGTTTTAATGTTTGATTGAAAGTCCTTAAAACCGAAAGCCCTGGTTCTTAAACTGTAAAGACCAGTACAGGGATAGGAATATGATCACCCCACCGATTTGGCGGCTGGGGTTTGGAGTATTCAGTACCCTAAACGCTATAGACCCCTAAACCCTAAGCCCGCAACCCAGTATGACAGGGTTCAAGGTAGAGTTTAGGTGGGGTTTGGGATATAGGAGTTTCCGAAAATTTCGGGGTACCTTATTTTGGGGAGTCCTTATTGTAAGGATCCTACTATTTAGGGTACTATGTTTGGATTCCCCACTCTCGGAAACTCCAAACCCTAAACCCTTAACAGGACCCTTATAGATCCCTTTAAAGAACCCTTATAGATCCCTTAAAAGGAACCCTTCAAAAAAGGGTCCCCTATATGAGGGTTGCGGCCTCTCTCGAACCTACATACCTTCACACCTTTCGGGCCTGAGAATAAGGTGATTTTTGCCACGGAACCCGAAATCCCCAAACACTACTAAACTCAAACCCTAAACCTTAAACCCTAAAACCCCAAAATCCCTAAACCCTAAACCAAAAAATCCACGCAAAGATAAACCGCAAACTTAAACTTTAAACCGTGTCCTGAGCCGAGGCCCTTTGGATGCCTGAGGCAATGAAACAGAAATCCCAGTGGATTCATATAGGGGCCTTCATAGTTAGAAAAGGGTCTGTATAAGGATTACTATAAGGCTACTATAAGGCTTTAAAATGCACGGGCCGTAGTAGTTAGCATAGGGTTTTGGGGCCCATTATACTATAATTAGAATAAGGAACCCCCCAAAATAGTATTGTTAATTATTTGGTTCCTTAGGGTTCCTTGTTATAGTTCTACTATAAAGGAGTCCCAAACCCTATTCTAATTAGTAAGGCCTTTATAGTAGCCTTATAGTAATCCTTATATAGACCCTTCTCTAACTATGAAGGGCCCTATATGAATCCACTCGGATTTCTGTTTCATTGCTTCAGGGGGGCGGGGCGCCCTAAACCCTAAACCCTAAACCCTAAACCCTAAACCCTAAACCCTAGCAGCCCAGGATTGTCCCATGGGACTCTGGGTTTGGTCCTCCGGAGCTCTCGCCCTTTGCTTGGGTCTGCTGCTTACACCCTATGTGCCGGAAACTGGGTTCGTAATCTACTATTTGCTTAAGAACCCCCAAAAAATAAAAAATGATAATCCCTATATTATCCCTATAAGGAATATATTTTTTAATTTTGGGGGGGTTCTTAAGCAAATAGTAGTAATTTAAGAACCCAGAGAGCCCAATACCCCTTAATTAAGGAATAGATCTTAAATCATAATATGAGGCCCTATATAATGTAAGCCATATTCCTTAATTAAGGGGTATTGGGCTCTGTGGGAATTTAAGGTACCATAATGGGGATCTATAAGGGCTCCATTAAGGGTTTAGGGATGAAATTTTGTTAAGTTAACATAACATGATTCATCCCGGTTATTTGCTATGGATCCCTATTATGGTAACTTAAATTAAATCCCCAAAGGGTCCAAAGCACCTATATAGTAGAATGTAGGGGTTTCTGTTTTCGGAATGACTATTATTATTTCTGGGAAGTATCGCCCATAACAATACCTAGGATCCTTTGGGATCCCCTAACACGAACCCAGGAAATGTGCAGCCCGTCCGAAGTGGGGTTCATCGATGTGGCCAGCATCCACCAGCAGGACGGATGCCTGGATTCGGCGCCCATTACCCTAAGGCTGCATAGCAGTTCCTTCTTGGGGTTCATATTTCCACTCTTAAAAGGTAATCCAAAAAGGAAACTACTATGTTACCATGGAGCTTCTGGATAATTACATTCAAAAGTGGAAGCTAGGAAGTTGCATCGAGGACATCCTCATGCCCTCAAGGTAAAGTAGAAGGAATCCCAGCACGAGTCAACTCATCCCCAAACCCTCAACCGTGTTGGAACTTTTGCCTACTGTAGTGCAGGTCTTCGTATAGTCAGGTGCAACTTTCATGGAATAAGAACCCCTGGGACTGCAAGTAGCCCAAAGTCGCTACTGCTTGTAGACTCTGTGGGTCCAGCGGCATCAGTGGGGTGCGCAGCATTTTTGTCCCACATGTCGCGAGGCTGCTAGCCCAGGCCTCCCGTTCTCCAGTTACCTCAATAATGGGCTACTGGGCCACATGGTGTATGGTTCGTAGCCTGCTATGTAGGTAACTGGAGCCCTTGGGTAAGGATACCTTGATAAACGCCAGAGTTTCTTTGCTGGCTGAAGGCATTTCGGGATGAAAGCAAGCTTGAGGCATCTGCCGAGCATGCGAGGCCATCCCATTTGTGAACTGCAAGATGATGGCCTAAACCCTAAACCCGAACCAACATGAACCCTACACACCGAAAGCGTGACGTTACCCAGAGGCTCCAAAGTAGTTCCTTTTGGGGATTAACTTCTAGGATTCTAAATATGAACCCCAAAAAGGAACTACTATGGAGCCTTAGGGTAGTTATCAGGACCGTGCACTCATGGAGCGGGGTGTGTACGGCATTGGCGGATTTTTGCGTGTTTCCTCGGAGCTCCGTATTCTTTGGAGTGCACCCTACCTGCCGAGTTCTCAGCACGTTTATGCAGTGGTTTAGGTTGATGTTCCTGCAGTGGGGCATGGACGAACGTGGATTTTGTCAGATTTTGTGCAGAGCTGGGAAGCGTGCGTTCCTCAGGTCTCGTCTCTGGTGCATTTTTGAACTAGCAGCATACAGGAAGGCGACGCGGCTGGCAATGGTCTTGTTTTCGGTCCATGTTCTGGTATATAGGAGTGATACTCCCCTTGCACTTCCGCCGAACGCTCATATAGGGGTCTGAATAAATGCCCACTGGGGCCTAGCCCGAGCAGTTCCTGTCAAATGATGGTATACCCAAACCCAAAATGTTCTAACACGAAGGCTGTTGAAATCAAATAAGACAAAGGGTGAGTCTCTCATGTTGTCTGACGAGGTCAACCCCGATGGCACCATACGCTTCCGGCCGCTCTTTGTCGAAACTTGGCTTTGACGGGAGAACTGTCGAATATAGGGGCCTAAAGACTTACCAATAATTTCTAGTTTGGGGCTTCCTTATTCTAATTATAGTATAATGGGCCCCCAAACCCTTTTTCTAATCACTGAGGCCTCCATATTACAAAGCCTTTACACAGTCGCCAAGTGCAATCAACCCTTTGCACGGCACGCAGAAGCCAAATTGAATAAACAAGGGGCCCAGTCTTTTAAGTCTTACAACAGGCATACACCAGGCTGTTCAGTGGTATACTTTTTTACTTTCAGGTTTCTGGGTTCCTAATATAAAATAAGAGGTCTAAAAAAAGTATATACTTGTTCCCAGTGGGTTACTGACTACATGAGATGTTTTTTCTGGAGAGCAGTACACTGCCTGAAAAACCCGACATTTGCAAGTGGCTGGTCTTGTGGGCACGTCAGAAGAATAGTGCAGGCTCACAACGCTTTCATTTGGCACGCCTTACATCCTGGATCCTGAAGCTGTAAACCTGGACCCCAAAAGCGCATTAGCATAAGCATTCTATAGGGATACCCATACCATATTGGGCTTTATTACGGGATGTTTTTTATCATTTTTTTTGCTTATGTGCTTCTGTTGGGGCCCCCACCCTGTAATAGTGGTATCATAGGAATAGAATAGGGCCCTAATATAATCCTTATAGTCACCATGACAGGGTGGGGGCAGCTTCTAACTTATGTGCTCCTTTGGGGCCCTGAAGGAGAGGACTGCCTTGGTGCTTCTGATCTCCTGCCTGAGCTTCGGCTTCTTCGTGCTGGGGAGGTCGGAGCTTGCCTTGGGATCCAAAACCTACCGTTTTTCGGGTTCGACGCTCGAATTAAGGGGTCATAACCTACTCTTTGGAGATACAGGTGGGTCCCAAAACTGTTTCTGCGCCTGTCGGGGAAAGGGGGGGGGTTGGGGGGCTGGGGGGTTTTAGGGTTGAGGGGTTTGGGGATTTAGGGTTTCCTGCAGCCTGATTCCGAAAGTTCTGGCACTCGGGTTTTAGCACCGTCTAGGTTTCATGTTTTGAGGGTTCAGGAAATGACCCGGTTTCTGCGACGGCCTCACCAGCGTCAGCATGTTTGTGTGCGAGCGTATCTGACTTTGAGCGTAAAATCGGATACCAACGATTCCCTGTAGATGTCTCTTACTTCACGAGGGTCTTAGGGGTATGAAGTGTTACCCCAAGGGTCCACAGGTACTCGGTTTTAGGCTAGTAGTTATGTAGGTTAGGATTTTGGTGAGTATATGATTATTAGGCACTTGGACCCGTAGATTCGGGGCGAAGAAGGGTCTTGGGGCTCTCATATCGCAGAGTTACCTGAACATAACCCCAGAACGCAAGCTCGTCCGAAGCCATCGAGAACATCATGAAAGCCCAAGCTGAGGACTGCGGATAGGGTTTAGGGTTGAGGGTTTGGGGATTAGGGTTTAAGGTTTTGGGTCTAGGGTTGACTGCGGATAGGGTTTAGGGTTTAAGGTTTTGGGTTTAGGGTTTTGGGTGCGGAACCTACCTGAAGGTCGGGCAATGGATCTCAAGTCCTGTTGTACACTGCCTATGCCTGGACGTTCCTTACTAACTGGATTGCCGTCGCGGTGTTGCGGAGTAACTACCGGGAGAAGCATCAGCTGCTCCTCGGCGAAGTTCAGACGCAGATGGCATGGGCGTAGTATTGTGGTGAAGAGCCTCGGTCCCCTAGACCTAACCCCCCAAAGTAGGTAAGATAATGGCCCGATACCTATAAACGGCTATTATTCTACTTACTTTGGGGGTCAAAAGGGAGTTACTGTCAAACCTCCGCCGAGGCTGCGGGAGCTGCGGCAATTCGATTTGAACAAGGTCTCATGCAGGCAAGAGTTTGATCGAGACTTGGCGGTCTACTATTTGCTTAAGAAACCACCAAAAAATAAAAATAATATTCCCTATATTACCCCCATAAGGACTATATTTTTTATTTTTTGGGGGTTCTTAAGCAAATAGTAGCGGTGCACTGGGCCTCGGACTTGTGCGCGGCACAGGCGAAGCCCCCTTCCCTAAGGCTCCATGTGCCCATATAGTCGATACTTAGGCCTTAAAGGGGTCACTATATGGGTACTTTGGGGCCTAAGTACCTACTATATGGGTACATGGAGCCTCTGGGCTTGTGTCCCACCGCTGCGTAGATCAGGGCTTAGTATGTCTCTGCGCTCAGGACAGTTCATTCACGCGGCGATATCGAAGTGGTACGGGAGCAAGGCTTTGTTGTTCGTTTCTTTGTTTCGTGGCCGGTTTTTGCACCTAGGCTCAGGGTTCCCGTACAGGAAGCCTTCACGGAGTTCGTGCGTCAGGACCTGCGACGGGATTTGGAACCCTGCCTGGCCACGCGCTTTCCCATGAGATACCTCCTCCTCCTTTGCGCAGCTTTTTCCTCCACCAGCCTGGAGTATGTCCTAGCTCTATGGAAGGGTGGGGCCCCGACCGAGAGCATCCTGTCCTTGGCTGTCGCGGTCCTTTTGGGGGTGAACGTTTTTGTTCTTGCAGGCATCTGTATAGCCATGAACTACCTGTCTGATCGTTTTGCTGCACGGCGCTTTGGACGTTTCGATCACGTGCAAACGCTTCTGATCCTTGAGTGGCCTTCAGATTGATATCATTTTTTGTGTTGGTTTAGGGTTTAGGGTTTAGGGTTTAGGGGTTTAGGGTTTAGGGTTTAGGGTCAATCCTTTGCCTTGTTACTCCCTGCCTTAACCCTGAGTATCCTACCTTTTCAGGTTCCCTTATTATGCTTTCATATGGGTGGTTGTCAATAGGATCCTTTTCTGGGTCCTTATAAGAATAAGGCACCTAATATTTAGGGTACCCAAAAAGGGACCCTAATTTTGACAACCACCCATATAAGTCCTTAAAAAGGCAGGTTCTTCCGGGTTAAGGTAGGCCCTGAACATCCTCCATCTCCAGTCACACCCCAAACCCTTGCAAACTTCCCCCCCCCATTAAACCCTACTAAAAGGATCATGGGACTTAGTAACTATAGGGTTCTAATTAGGGTAACTCTACTTGTAACTACTCATAACCCCAATTAAGGTACTTATAACCTTGTTTACTAAGTCACATGATCCTCCAAGTACCCAGGATCGTCATGCTGCTGGCCGCAGCGTTCGGGGCTGGAAACTTTCTTGGGTACATCGCCTACGTCTCCAGCCTGGCGCATTGCATCCTCTTCGCACATTGTCATAGTTGGGTAACATTTTATATTTTTATGGGTACGTAAACCCAAGAAGGAATAGAAATGTACATTTTTAATCCTATCCCAGCAATGAACTAGCGCAGCTTTGCCATCCAAGTTACGAAGTTCAGGCCCAAACTGCCCTGCCGACCCCAAAACTCCTTGAGGTTTTGAAGTCTAGGGGTTTGGGATACGGGCGTTTCGAATTTTTAGCATTCTATTTATTATTTGACCAGGTCTCAGAGTTCTGGGATTTAGTCACAAGTTCGTTTGCATACAGGTTTTGGGTCAGCAAAGTCCATGACAGGACCTTGGGTCCTTTTGGGGGTAATCTGCTGAAGTATGCTCAGGCAACGCAATTGTTTTCGATTGTTGATGATATAAATCCTGCATTAGCTTCGGGAGCCTGAACTATGGGAATTATGGTATATTCTGTAGTATGGTGCAGGATTTGTATCATCAACCCTATGCTCAAGTAAGGCAATAGGTTGCGGTATAGCGGCCGGCTGCCTGCACTGGATTGAGAAGACGGTGCCGATGCCGGACGGTGACACGAGCGAGCCGTCATGAGAATGTTTGCTCCTGCTCAACCTAAAGCCCTAAACCCTAACCCCTATAAGCCCTAAACCCAAACGGACGGTGGTCCGCATAGGAGCTTCAGCGAGTCCTCCAATGCTTACGTTATGTGTTTCATGATGATTCAGGCGCGCATGAAGCGAGTCGTTGTGTGGGTTCTGTCGCCTTCGATCGGCATTTTCCGAGAACCTCAGCTTGAGGTTTTTGACGGACGGTTTCCAGCGCTGAGCTGCAAAGCAGCTGTTTGTTATATGTGTGAAAGCTGAAAGTTAAAACAAGACTGCAGTGATGACATCTGTGGGGGATTTAATCTCCTTCAGGCCCTGCAGCATTTGGTCGCACTCAGGGGCTCAACGGTTGCTTGCTTTCGTGTTTGTTTGTCCTTTTGTCTTGTTGCTGGCTGCTTTGGTTAATTCGTCGTAAACCCTAAACTCCATGAGCCGTAAACCTTAGAAGGGGCCCCCACCCTGTAATAGTGGTATAATAGGAATATAATAGGGCCCTAATAATCCCCAATATAACCCTTATGGTCACTGTTACAGGGTGGGGGCAGCTCCTAACGTAAACCCCATAAACCAAACTTATAAACCCTTTAATCCCTGAACTCTCGCAGCGAGCTCCTAAGTCGCAGCTCTGTCTACACTCCAAGTATTTTTGTGTGGTGTTGTTGAGGAATTTGATTTAAGTTGTCATATTGCAGGGATCTACAATCAAAGAATATTGTGTCGTTACTATGGTAAGTTAAATGAATCCCTTATACAGCCTGATAGAACCCTTAAAAGAACCAGAAATTTCGGCAACTTCAATGAAATCCCTGAACAAGATCCCAGTTTTGCTGAGGGCAGCCCGGGGCTCTGCCTCCTGAAGACGAGAGCCGCTTCAGGGCTTCTGGGCTTGGGTGCTTTCAGGCTCCGGGATCTGGATCACTGCATACGCATGTGTGTGTGTGTACATATGTATATGTATATATATATATATATGTCTGTTTACGGGTGTATATATATATATATGTATGCATTTGCATACACGTATACACAGATACATACACATACGCATGCACATACACATATGCATATGCATACATATGTAGATATGTATATATATATATATATATACACATATGCATAGATACCTACGTATACATATATGCATACATATATGTATACAGATGTACCTATATACATGTATGTATATATATATATATATATATATACGCATGCATACATCATACTTACATGCGTACGTACATACATGCATGCAACGAACACACATACGCGCACACACACACACACATATATATATATATATATACACAATATATATATATATATATATATATACATATACATATATATATATATACATACATATAATGGAGACTTGCATATTAGTCATAAAAGGATGTTTGCATTTGTGTAGCCACGGCGTTGTTCAGCCTTCAGAGGCAAAGTGGGGCCTTAGCCCGAAACCAACACAGTGCGACGCAACACTCATTGAATCCGTCACCCCTACACTCCCTAAACCATAAGAAGCCTTATGGTTAGGGAGAAACCCTAAACCCCAAGAAGCCGAATTACAAGAAAACTCCCCGGACGATTTGTTCAGGCGAACCCTGAGAACGACAGCACTTCGCTTCCTGCTTGGAGCTCGGTCGGTGGTGACGCGAACACGTTCATAGCAGGGTTAGGGTTTAAACGTTTAGGGTTGAGGGGCTTTGGGGTTGGGGGTTTAGGGTTAGGGCTTTAGGGTTTACCCTAAGGCTCCTGGACCCTCGTAGTGAGATCCCAAACCGTAGCCCCCAAAGCCCAAACCCTCCCCCAGAAAGCCCATGACCCCTTTGGGAGCCTGACGGTAGGGTTAGACAAGTTTAGGGTTTAAGGGTTTAGGGTTCAGAGGCAGTTGCGTCAAGGTTACGACATCTGGTCCGCCAGAATCCAGAACTCAGATAATTACAGGTATCTTGCTTGAGTTGAGCTTGGTCGGGAGATTTTGTGGTTAAAATTTACCGAGAAGCTAGTACCTGTGAGGACCCAAAGCCCAAGCCAGAACAGGATCTCTGGGCGTGCAACTTGAACAGGGCCTCCAAGTGAATGTATCCCTAAGGGTCCATGTGCCCAAATAGATACTTTGACACCAATGTACCTATATAGGGACTACTTTAAGGCCAAGGTATAAACTATTTGGGTACATGAGCTCTTAGGGTATACGCAATGGGACGGCCTGCGATTTAGGTTGCGGTTCGTCCTACCACCCAGCCGTCCAAAGAAATTTGATTTGGGGCTTCAGAGGTCGATGTATGCGAAGGAGCTTACCCTAAGGGTCCACGTACCCAAATAGTATTTACTGTGGGCCCAATGTACCCACATAAGGAGTACTTTCAGGCCAATGTATATACTATTTTAGGTACATGGACCCTTAGGGTTTATTAGGACCAAACAGTATAATGTAGGAACCTGATTGAGAAAACTTGGGCCTTTATTAGGGTTCCTTATATGAGTCCTACTATCCTGAGATTGTAGGCCCAGGGTTTCTTAATCGATTTAATCAGGTTTCCTATATTAGTAGGGGTTTCGGGTCTTGCGGTTTGAAGTCAGTCAAGGTCATGGTAGTTCCTTCTCCGGGTTCATATTTAGAATCCTATAAGGCAATCCCAAAAAGGAACTACTGTGGAGGCTCTGCGTAAGGATCTTAGGGTGCGAGATGGTCGCAGGAGGGGGTTTGGGGATGTTTAGTTTGGGAGCTTTGGGTCGGGTGGTGACCCGCAGAACCTTCATTAGGGTTGAGGGTTTAGGGCTTAGGTGGTTTAGGGTTTTCGGGATTATAGGGTTTAGGGTGAGCCTTCGCAGGCAAGTTAACTCCAGAATCAGAAGGTCTAGGGTCATGCCTTCATTGTCTTGCTTTGGGTTGGGTTCCGGGGCCCCTAAACCCTAAACCCTACATATACTACGTAGGTCGCAGAGTAAGCCCTTATTCCCTTTTTTAGGGTTCAGGTTCCCTTATAACCAATAAAGGGGGCACCCTTTTGTTTTCTAAGTTACTGTTAGGTCCAGTATAGGACTCCTTTAGGTTAGCGCTTTAGCCTGAGGCTAATCGCCGGACTTGGAGGCCATGGGGTCATAGTATCTATCTTATGGGTGGTTGTCAAAATTATGGTCCCTTTTTGGGGTACCCTAAATATTCGGTGCCGTATTATTGCAAGTACCCCCAAAGGGACCGTAATTTTGACAACCACACATATATCAATCCATATATATATATATATATATATATATATATATATATCTCTATCTATCTCTCTACCTGTCTATCGACCTATCTATCTTTCTATCTACTTGTTTGTCCCCAAACGCTAAACCTTGCATCCCTTCACCCCCAATGCTAGAGTAAGCCTTCAGAGAGCCTTAGTGCCCTAGTGCCGTAACCCTAGATAAAACTCATAAACCCTAAACCTCTCAACCTCTAAACCCAGTAATTAAACCTCTACACACTTTAAACCCCTAATAAACCCTTAACCTCAAAACCCTGAGCCCTAAACCCTAACATCTAACCCCCAAACCTCCAAACCCGTAAACCCGAAACCCTGCGCCGAAAAAAAAAAAAAAACGCGCCGAGGTTCCGGTATACGTGGAAAGGATGGAAAGGCCACGATCGAGCTTCCAACCCCAGCCGGGCCGAGGAGGCTTGCATGGGATGTACGGTTGATGATATAAATCCTGCATGACCCATAATAAGGAATATACCATAATTCCCATAGTTTAGGGTCCTTAAGGTCATGCAGGATTTATATCATCAACCGTATGACAGTTGGGCTTTATGGGTTTTAGGGTTTTAGAGTTTTTAGGGGTTTAGAGGTCTTGAGTTTAGGGTTTAAGGTTATTGATGCATGTATGTATGCCCATACCTGCACGTACGCATGTATGTACGTACATATGTACGCAGGCATGTGTTTATATGAGGTGCGCATCTGTGCTCTTGTGGCAGCAGGGAGGCGGAGAGAGAGAGAGAGAGAGAGAGAGAGATGGCCCGCCCCCGCCCTATGCCCCAAGCGAAGCAAAGAGAGAGATGCAGAGATAGGAGACAGAGAGCGAGAGAGAGAGAGAGAGAGAGAGAGAGGGAGATCCAGGGAGGGAGGGATCAACATAGCTGTCAAGCTCATAAGAGTATCGTAGCGTTTCTCTCGCGTCCCAACCCTGGTCTGACACCCTAAACCCTAAACCCTAACACTGCAGGCATTGAGAGCTAGGCATTGAGCTCGGATCGGATCCTGCAAGCGACACCTCCCAACCCTAAACCCCTAAACCGCAAACCCAAAACCCTAAACCCTACGACATAGGTGTATCCGGAATGGACGGCATGCGGCAGGCCGGAGATTGCGAAGCTTTCCATTTGGGAGTCTCCGGAAATTAGGCGTACCTTACTTTGGGGTCCTGATCGCAAGGATCCTACTATCTAGGGTGCTATATTAGGTGCACTATATTCGGAAACTCCCAATTGGTGGTCTGCGTCTTCCCGGCGTTGTATGCCAAGCGATCCAATAGGTTGCATAGACGGGCTGTGTCACAGACTTGTCCCTTTGTCGGGGGTCGCATTATAGCGTATTCCATGAAAATTTAGGGCCTGGGCCTATCGCAACGCAGGGGTTTGTGCTGAGCACGTAGGAGCAGAGCTCTGATGAGTTTACCTGGACCCTTCAATGTCGTATTTGTCTCTGGGTACATCACATATATTGCTGTTGGTCCCGCAGTAAGACACGAAGGTAGCCGAAAAAGTTACCACGAAATCGGTACTTTCACAGTAGATATTGAGCCATTGCCGGGCCGAGCAAGCCGAGGTGCAGTCTTTACATGTGAACTTAGACGAAAGGACCTTCAGTACACCTTCTTACATGTCTGTATACATGCAAGCATGCAACATGCAAGCATGCATCATGCAAGCATGCATACATGCGTACATGCACAGGCACATCCACATGCACCTTTGGGGCCTACACATAT